CCCAGATCACTCAATTATTCAGAATCCTCCAGATACCACTCCTAAAGATACAGTTAAACCAAAGATTTCTAGCCCAGGTGTTATTACTACTAGGTCTGGATGCATTGCCCACAAACCAGATAAGTTGAACTTGTAATTCTGAGTTTATTAGTGTTTTGACTTTCCTCATTGTAAGCCATTTTAGGGGGAAGGGATGTGATAACTTCGTATCTATATTTAGTACGCTAGATGTTCTTTTGTTAGTGGTCACATGACCACATTTGAGTTTGTAATGGCGGAAAAGCTTGCCAAGTTGTAGTCTGCAGTTCCACAGAATAAAACTGCGTTAACGTGTTAATTGCCGTTTTTCCTGTGTGAATCTTTGCGGTGATGGATAGGCAAACACTCGGTTACTACATGAATTCAGTCACATGTTACCCTGGATTCTGTATTCAGCCACATGTTACCCTTGATACTAAATTCAGTCACATGTTACCCTGGATACTGAATTCAGTCACATGTTACCCTGGATACTGAATTCAGTCACAAGTTACCCTGGATACTGAATTCAGTCACATGTTACCCTTGATACTAAATTCAGCCACATGTTACCTTGGATACTGAATTCAGTCACATGTTACCCTGGATTCTGAATTCAGCCACATGTTACCCTGGATACTCAATTCAGTCACAGGTCACCTTGAATACTGAATTGCTTCGTAGGATTTTGTATTAATAATAATGATGTGATGCGGTCTTTGATAAGCCAAAACAAACAACGTCAGTCACATAAATGATTATTGATTAAACGATGAACGGTTTCAAATATGTTTTCTGGTCATAAATGTATCCATGGTAACAAATAACATAAGTTAGAGCGATATAAGAATTATTAGTTGTCTGTAAATCGTACATCTACTTGTAAGGGCGCCCTCAACTGTTTAGAGATGGATAAACACACATAAATGGCCATGTAGCAATGTGAGTGAACTAGTTTAAATGTTTAACCATTGCACTTGAGAACATTTTCAGCATACATGACAACCCGCACTGCATTAAGGATACTTATGGCTGGGGTTGTTTATATACTCGTTTTTGATTCAAAATATACATTACACACAACACGTAAAAAAAACATGTGATGTAATCACCTTAATATTAACAGTATTTGGTAATTGACATGACATCAGCAGAGTCTTAATCACAATCCTATGTACTTATCTATGGCTTTTCTATGTTGAACATAATATATAGATGACAACATTTCAGTTATAAACAACACGTGTTCATATTTTTTGTTAAATTTATGTGGTTTATACTTTATATATAGTTTATTCAATATCATTGAATGAAATCATTGGAACTGGTAAGCAAAATTTTCCCCTTGAACCGATAAATCCTTTACACTTCGAAAACAATTCGGAGTGGCCTGAAAAGTCAGCAAGTATGAATAATGTTTATATTAAACATTCACCGAGTACATTAAAACGTGGTGTTATAAGGCTATATTGAAAAAATGACAGTGTAAACATTTGTAGATACACGTGTACATAACAAGACTCTCCACGATTTCAAACGGTCAATTGATATGTTTCAAGACAAAATGTTTCTCACCAATAGGAATTCTTTTTATTTGATGAGCATAATACACGTAACATACACATACACTGGAATTGATGTATACCAAAATGCTCACCTAAATCAGAACTATTGTCAATCAAGCGAGGTCAGAGGTCACATTACACTACTACGCGCGATGGATTATGGGTACATTAACATAAACACAGTAATGTATAAACGATAAAATTGTCTGATATGTCACAACGAACCATACAAAAAGGTACCCACAACTATAGTGTTTATTTTTCAGTAAGCGGAAGAAACAGAGTGAAATCAGGCTATTTGGCTTGCGAAATTGTTTTCATTTCATGCTTGGATTATTCTGAATGCAGCGGAGACCACTTTGTATGAATGGTTGTATGAATGATAACTCTGTTCTGTTTAACTCTGTTCAAAAGGATCTTTTGAAAAAATACCATTAGTTATTGGTACACTTACTGAGACGGACAAAGAGCAACATATAACGAAGGTGAACTCGGATAATATATAGATTTGGGGTCAGACTCGGAGTCATGACATTCCATGTAAATCACATTCAACGAACAATGAATTACCCACAAGCTTGCAATATCGTAATAGTTTGAAAAAATCCGTCTAAATAGAGCAGTGTTCAGCCATATCCTTAACATACATACTCACTGGAATAGGGGTATTTCAGGTATAGCCTTGTCTGTAACATATACACCCACTGAATTGGATGTATTCTATTCCTTAGCCACGTCCTTAACATAACCACTCACTAGAATTGGGGTATCCCAGTGGTCAGCTTTGCCCATGGCATATGCACCCACTGAATTGGATGTATTCTATTCCTTAGCCACGTCCTTAACATAACCACTCACTAGAATTGGGGTATCCCAGTGGTCAGCTTTGCCCATGGCATATGCACCCACTGAATTGGATGTATTATATTCCTTAGCCACGTCCTTAACATAACCACTCACTAGAATTGGGGTATCCCAGTGGTCAGCTTTGCCCATGGCATATACACCCACTGAATTGGATGTATTCTATTCCTTAGCCACGTCCTTAACATAACCACTCACTAGAATTGGGGTATCCCAGTGGTCAGCTTTGCCCATGGCATATACATCCAATGAGATTGAATCTAAGTGGACTTATCTCGTGCAAATTGAACCGATTTACTACTTCGTTGGTAAAGTTCACGTATAAGTGCCATTTATACGTCAAATTTGAACTTAACATAAATTCATATGTATATCACGTTTTAATTATAATATAGCCGTCATTTATTATTTTCTGAAACTGTTTTTACACCGGTTTATCTAACCGGATGAGAAACCGGATGAAGTATTCAAGAATATTGTTTTTCAAAATATATAATCAATGACACAAAATATCTGTCCATCGAACTGGAATTGGCATTATTCACAGTAATTCGGACAAATAAAATACAAATCACAAAAAAATATTTGTATTAAAATCGATATTGAAATACGAAGTGTTTAATCTACACTTATTTTTTTGAACGAGCCGGATATACCACCTAGAGCATCAACTCCCTGGGTAGACCCACCAAGTATGTCGTTGGCTTCAGGGATGCCAAACTGATTCCGATATTCAAATTCAGCGTCACACTTCATCAGATTCTTGAACCATTCCATCCAGTCAAAATCCATGAACTGTCCACCGAACTCTGGAGGAAGAATAGACGATGGCACATGCTCATGCAGGGTGCCGTACTCCTGACCATGAAAGTGATGCTGAAGGACGATAAATACAACGCAAGTCAAGAAACACCGTATGCACAGTAGGAGTGAACACAAATATCGTCTTATATTATCAGTGCAAATCTATCTATATATAGTGTGCAGTGCCAATATAACTGAATATATGATATATAAAAAATAATATTTTGGAAGACATTTATTTCGCCTTGTTTGAGTTTGTCAACAATCGATACATGTTGTGAAAGATAATATTGATAAATAATCATACATTCGGCTCCCATAATATGGATGATTTCCATAGTAGATACATCATTCATAGAGGGATGGTTGATCACCCATAAAAAGATGTCATTCGTAGTTCCATGGTAAGGACAGCATAAACAACATAAATGGCACCCATAGCAGGAACGGCTACCGGCAGCTGAAATGACTTCCATAGCAGGTACCGTACCAATGGCAGAAACGGCTCTCTTAGCAAGAACAGCGCCCATTGCATATATGACAACAGATAGCAGGACAACACCCATAGCAGGAGTATCACTCATAGAAGATACTA